AAATTAAATTATATAAAACAAAAAAAACAAAAATAAAATAAAATACAATGAAATAAAACAAAAAATAAAATGAAATAACATCAAATAAAACAAAATAAAATAAAGCAAAACTAAAATTAAGTAAAAGAAAAAAATTAAATAAAAAAATGTATTAAAATAAAATAAAATAAAAAATTAAGAAAACATCTTGAAAAATACCAATGACCAGGTATTTGAAGTAGACTTGCCAAAATCACATAAATAAAATTTGAAATCGTTGAAATTTGCAGATTTGAATTGCAAGTGTAAGGAAGAAAAAAGGAATCCCTAAATGAAAATTGTACTACGAAGAACCGAAAAATGTTAAAAGCACAGAATTACAGTCAGCGTCAAAAATATGCATATTCTGATGCTTTCATGATTTTGTTCATGTCTATTTACCATTTTTTTATAAATTTTTTTTTATAAAAATATAGTTCATTCCACAGCAAAACCCATAAGAATGAATTTAAAAAAAAATGCAAGAAATGCCCGGAAATTTTCATCGAAACTATCGATTTTTCAATTCAATTTCAGCTGTAGCTTCGGCCACTGCGTCAAACTAGTCCCCGGCGACCAAACAGGCGCAGCATAGTTCAAAACCGGCCGGCCAATTTGCCTTGTGTGTTGCCAACAACAACTTTTTCCTAGCTTACAATTTTGAAATTTATTTATTTTTTTAAATTCTAACTCAAATTGTGTCAGTTTTAGTCTATGCGCAAAATTTGAGCGAAATTGGAAACCATCGCTTATATTTAATTTAGAATAGCTGCGTACAGCAAATTAAAGCTCACAGGCTGCCGTTTTTGAAAAGTTGTCAAAAGTAATAAAGGAAGTAATAAATTTTTATTCTTTCAAGGTTGGATTTACTGGGCTTATTCATAACCAATTCATAAACCATTCCTTTAAGGTCTTAAGTAAAAAAAAAAATTAAATTTCGAGAACAATCAAAGTGGATATAACATAACGGCCGTTTAAAGTGTAAAAATTCCATTATTTACGTTAAATCATCAGTTCACTGCCACTTAAGCGGCTAAAAAGAAAAAAAAAACGTGACAACGCAAATACAAATTGTGTGCAGCAACATCAACTAGGTTATATCCAAGCAAAGGCACACAACCGCATTGCCCGAATTAGCGAGCACTTCCTTGTGCGTTTGTGTGCACTACTGGCTATGAATTCAGACAAATAGTACCACCGGCTGTTTTGCTGCCGTCGTCGCCGCTGTTCAAATAAGCAATCAGGCTAACTGACAGCAAGATAAAAATCTGGAAGTGAATAAAAAGTGTGCGGAAGCATACAAACACAAATGTATACCTCGCGCAAACACTAAGCCGAAAACCGGTAGCTAACGTGGTGATGACTAAATAAAGCTTGTAAACATAGAAAAAATTAAATATTACTACGGAATAACTACACGTAAACGCCATACTAGTAAGGCTAAGCTTACAACGACAAACGCAAAAAACGTAAATCGTAAATTTTTTTTGAAATTCAAAAAAGAAAACCCATTGGGCTACCCTAATAGCTAAGCACATAATACATACATACATATTTTCGCTTGACACAGTCCAATTGTCCGCGTTTCGTGGGTTATATAAAGCGGGTGCGTGTGCGCGCATGCAAAGTGAATTTAGCCATATTTTTGTGTGCTAAGCTGGCTTTGACTACGCTGCTTCGATATCTACATATATTCCTTTAGGAGTACCCTAACAAGCAGCGGCAACCTATGGTTTGCATCAGCGAAAAGCATATCGCTTGCAACTATAAATTGTCGCAGGCAATTAACCCGTTACTACTGCGATTTCACTGCATATGATAGTGCGCTGCTTTATTAATTTATCAACTGTACGAACCTGACATTATTGTCGCCATTTTTGCTGAAAAGAGTAATTCAATTCATAAAACTCGCATCAAGATGATTGCCTTACTGACGCTCTTCTTCTATATGACAAGTAAGTACGACATTTTTTTACAGTAAATTGTTTGTTGTTATATATGCTCACTAGTTATTTATTATATTTTAAATATAATCATAGACATTTTAGTAGTATAAAAATCATTGTAAGTCCGTGAAATATCTTCTTGTTTTGTTGTAAGTTTTAAAAATTAGGTAATGGAATTCAAGGCAGCGCATAGATACATACATATGTATATGTATGCCTAATAGTCAAGTATTTAAAGTTCTTTAACGCTAAAAAGACGGTGCTGTGTAGCACCAATGCATCAGAGCAGGTGACAAACCCCAAGTGACTCCCAGCATTCTTTTACATGCATAATGGGCGTTACTGGCCTTCTTCTCCCTTTCTTCAACATTGCGCATCCACAGCAGCTTACTCTCCAAGACTACTCCCAAATACTTTCTGTGGTCTTTAATTGATAGCTCGATGCTAAATACCTGGCCTCGGGGGTCTCCACACTGGGACCTTATATATTTTTGTGACTACACCACCGACCCATACAAATTGACAAAAAAACTGCTTTGTGCTGGTGAAGCACGTAAAACTATAGGACAAGTAGCCTGTGCAAAATGTGATGTCGGTTTATGGTTGAAACGTTTTGCTAATTTTCATTAACTTCTTCACTTTGCCGCCGTTTTGCACGTGAAATATGCATATATTATCAATAAACGTATTAAAACCTATACAAAATTTTTCTATTATTTCATATTTTAACCAAATACTGTCCTCTAACAATCCATCTGGAATATGCCCCGTGTTGCCACATGGCAACGGCCGATATCGGAAGAACTATACTACTCCAAAAGTTTTAGTCATATTTTTTCCTTTACTTTAACGCTACTTTTACCCTGTATATAGGTGAAACCAAAAAAATTAAAAAAAAAATTAATCTGGGACAATTTGGTACGAACACTATTGCAGCACTAAAATTAGTGGACAAGACGAACCCGAGCTTCCGTTGATGATGGCGGAGTCGATGTTCCACTATCTGACTATGATGAAGTACGAATGAGTAGCATTAGCGCTCTTGAAGTGTGCTCTGCCTAATCCACGAGAAAGTGCCCACGCAATTCGCACCAACTACCGCGGGATCAGCCTTCTAAGCATATGTTACGAGGTCTTATCGAGCGTAGACCAAGTATTCACAATACGCCAACTTTTAGAAAAGATCTGCGAGAAAAGGATCACCATCTATATGTCGCTTTCGACAGCAGTTGCTCATACGCCGCGATGCCTGAATTTCGCATCCGCTCGATACTGATACGGCTGTGTAAAATGAGGTTGACCAATACCACCAGATGCTTCAGAATTGGGATTGACCTCTACGAGCTGTATGTGCATTTTCTGGCGAATGCATTATCACATTTCCACGTTGGATAAGGAAGCAAAGCACGCCCAAATAAGAAGAAAAAGAATTGGTTTCCCGCAAAACTTTACCCTTAAGGCAACTCAAAAAACTAGTCAAAACTGCATTTATACAACTCTTGAGAAAAAGGTAGAATTACTTTTACAGATGCGCAAACTAAGGAAAATAATTGTGAAAACATTTTGTGTCAAAGCATCCTGAAATTTCAGTATGAGTATATACAACACTTACATATTCTATCTATAGTTCTTAGATAACGTAATAAAAACATAACAAGGAAAATAGCTCAGGAAAAAGTAGTAGCATGCGTAAAACGAAGAAATAGTCGCAAAAAAATTTAATAATACAACTGTGAAGGAAAAACTGTATATGGGGCGTTCCATACCATATTTCATATATATTTATTATTTATGTTAATGCATCAACCCTAAAAAGTTGAAACAAATCAAACACATGAAGTGTGAATTCCGTTCGTTTTGGTATGGAACACCCCATATAAATATGCACATATATATGGAGATATTTGTGTGCGCAAAGCCTTTCTTCAGTATGAGCTTCAATACCAAAGGCATTTTTGTTAAAATTCATGTTGAAACAGGTGAATGGAAAAATTATGCATACAAAAGAAGGAAAAGAAGACAATAGACATAATCGAGCAACATAGCGTAAAAAGATTACCACCGTACTAGATGCAAGTAAATGAGCGAAAATGGGGAAAAAGTTAAAACTCGTACGAGCCCATTGAAAATCCTGTGTCTACAATTTCAGAGAATCTGACAGCATGCTAAGGCCACTTACGACAAAACAAAGATGCGATATAAAAGTAAACGTTCATGTAAAAGACTTTTCTATTAGAGTATGGAAGTGAATCTGGAAGGTTTGCCTTCCAGTCAGTAATTTGGCTTTTGTCGTTCGTTTGAAAAAATTCCTGCACAACCTATTCAATCCACACTATCTAACTGCCGTCTTTCTAGATTGCTTCATCTACGCTTTCCCTATTTTAGATTCCCCAGTTCTTTCGCAGCTTCGATTTATAGTATCATTTTAGCGAACCACTGAACTGTGCCTGTTGATTCTCAAACGTAAATCTATTCATATAATCCCACTTGCAATCTTTTGCAATAGGTGTTTTAATTTATGCGACACTCTCTGCCACTCGACACGGTAGCGCACTTCAAACTGTCTAACAGCAATCCGTTACCAACAATAGCGTCATTATTTTGGTATTTTCTACAAGCTAGGTGATCCATTTTCCTTTCGTGGTTTAGTTTTATATACAAAAATTACCGCCATTATTTCACAGATAATATTTTTGCCAATACGCATACATAAATATACATACATATGTACTAAGTATATGTAGATATGTACACTAGGGTAGTCCAAAAATAGCAAAGTCGGAATTGTAATGCTCTCACCTCCTAGGATTGTTCTCTACCGAAAAAAGTAGACCCCTATTTTTTTATTTTGAAATCAAAAAATATTTAGAGGTCGTTCAAAGCGCTCAAAGTTTTCCATGTATTTTTATATGGAAAAAATTAAATTTTTCGTAGAATGGTATAGAATTTTTGAAGATAAATATTATTCGATCGGAAAACTCTGGTTCTCTTCAGAAAAAATACCCAATTGTTTATTTAACCATTTTTTAATACTAACGATTTTTATTGGTCCCTTTGCTTCTTCTGGGAATTTTAACGGACCTATAAAATATAGTTAAAGAAGCAATTGGGTATTATTATTTGGAATCTCTTGAAGAGAAACAGAGTTTTCCGATCGAAAAACATTGATTAAAATTCCGACTCTTCCTTTTTTACGTGAATTTTTGAACCGCCCTCATGTACATACATACATAACTAATAGTACATGTTGGTTTTATCATCTTACCAAGCATATTACAGAGAGAAAAATTCAATTGTACCGTTGTATTTGCCGTTGTGCCTTCTCACGCTAAGGTGACAAGCGAATAAATTTAGTATGGCATGTGCACATGTTCATGTGTGTATGCTTACACATGCGAAAATTAATTTAAAAAAAAATAAAAAATCATTTCAAAAAAATCTTCACTTAAATCAGCGACACTTGACATGTTTTTATGAAGCCTTCGTTTACCGTTTTCCTCTTTTTGCTCACATATATGTATATATGTATATATGTATGCTTTGAAGGATTCGCTTGGATTTTCTGGGCATTTTAAGAAAGATAATGTATAATTTCAAAAAAGCATGAAATGTGCATTGATGTACACGTATGTACGTGATTGGCATCTATATTAAGATGCTTTCTTTGTTGTTTTCTGAACTTTTAGATGCTAAATTAAAAATTCTAATTTCTCCAAAAATATCATAGAATTGCATCAAAATAATTTTTGCTTTGAGCATAAAATACATAAACATTTATGAATACACAAAAGCTTATAAAGTCGCTTTAACATCTGACACTATGCCTGGAAAATACGATAAAATTGTGAACATACAATGCCACACAAACTAAGAAATAAACAAGTAGAAGAAATTATTCCCTTGCATTCGAAGATTCGCCTAGAGAAAAAAATCCTTCAAACGCCGACTAGCATTGTAAACCAATTGAAGTGTTGTCAGTGCGTATTAGCAACATTTTGTGACTGTGACAGACATTCGGTCACCCAAGCTAATATTCAGAGAAAATTGTGAAGGACACAGTGAAGGGGACAAAAAGAAATACCTTTATTATTCTATTTTTTTTTAAATTATTTTTTGATTGATTAGCAAATCAGTCAAAGAGACGCGTTCAGGTGACATGCTTCACAAGAATGGAACTGTCAAATGTAGGAGTAGAAGTACTCGCTTGTTTAGATGGAGTGAGCCTTTAACCGTATAACTATGCAGGGATATGCGCTCAAAGTGTTAACAATTAAACATTCCATACTTTTGCTTATTATGCATTTTTCTTATTTAGGTAGAAACAATCATTTTCAAAATTCAAATTTTTTGAAAAGTGTACTACTGTTCGATGTAGCCAACCTTTGCGCGGATAATAGCATCGAGTCTGTCCCGTAATGCACGAATGTGGTGTGGTGGTACTATTTTGTCCCAGTGTCTCATATTTTTTAGTTGATACTTTGCCATCGAGAATAGACTATATGCAAAAATCCACTGGCGTAAGTTTGGTGAATATGGTGGCCACTGTTGCGAAGCTGGGGAGTTTTTTTTTCTAAAAAACATGGGACTTCGCGAGCTTTATGCGATGGGCCATAATTTGACAAACTCTTCGACGGAGTGAGTAGTGACAGTGCTTTCTAAGGAATAGTGTCTACAAAGCCAAAACTTTTCGCCAAAGAATAGTTCTTCTTCTTCTTATTTGGCTCTACAAACATTTGTCGATTGCTGTGCAAATTTGCGCCAGTTGGTTATCCCAAGCTCACACAGGTCTTACTGCACTTGGTTTCCATGGGTACGGAGTCGAAGGATCTTTTCTTTCGGAGCGTCGTCTTCCACGCGTAAACATTTCCTAGCCAGCGCAATAGTTGTATTTTTATGTGCTTAGCTATGTCCATGTCGTTAAAAGGCTCATACAGTTCGTCATTCCAGCTTCTCCGAAACCATCCGTAATCCACGAAAACAGGGCCGAAGATCCTGAATAGTTCTCTCGA